TTTAACGGAATCCAAAACTTTTTTCGCAGAACTATTTCAAATAACAAGTAGATTCGTTTTAGCGAAAAAAAATTTTGGGGCTTAGGTGCACTTTAACTAAATTATCACAATGGAAGTCACTCAGAACTGAAATATACTGTAGATATTAAGCTAAAGTGAGGTTAAGTAGCATTACTTCAAATAAAATGCCGCAATTAAGCTACTAAGAAAATAAAGCATTTAGAAACCCGTCCGTAAATTCAGGAACACCGCGGTTTAGATTTTGATAAACTGCAAAAATACAGCAGCGTTAACTTACAAATATCAAGAATGCTAGAGACTGGAGTTATTCATTAAAGTACAAATATTAAGCTTATTGAGCTTAAAGCTCAATTGCATCCCAAACATTTCACTGGAAATCGACAAATGCTGAATATATGTCGGTTGTAAGTTAAAACATACTTCGCCTTCCTCTCCATTAAATGCAAAAATTATGCCAAGTAAACGAAAACGGATACAGTGGCAACTCTAGAACACAAATCACAATGTTGTTGTTGTTTTTTCTGCTTTCCGCGCACGACCTTTCAGCGTGTATCGGTTGCCATCGTTTACAAGTTGTCAACTTACCTTTTTCCTGGATACGCCAACTTGTTCTCCATACAAGCCATCGAAAGAGATTTCCTCAGATATTTTTTATCCTAGCAAGACTTAATGAGCTTCTAAATCTAGAGCTCATATAGCCTGGCTCGTAAAATTTAGACATAAATTAGTTTTCTCCTGTCTCCTTGGTCGCCCAAGCCCGCCATTTTGTCTATGGAGTAGTGCATTATGGGATTTGTGTTGCTGACAAATTAGAGTAAGGGGAGGGGAGGGAGGAGGATGGCGCTTTCCACCTACCGAAAATTTCGAAATTCGGTGAGAAATTTCCTAAATTTGCGAAGTTGTCCTCTTTTGCGGAAATTCCGTAAAATGCTGTTCCATTTCAACCACCTACCAATGAAAACCGAATTATTAGTTACGGAGTGGAGCCTTCTGAAATCCAAAAATTATATAAATGGCCGTTTTCCATTACGAAAAATACAAAGTTAATAATGTTTCAATTCAAGATAAATCACAATATCATCTACACTAAAGACAAACTTAAAAAAGCCAACATAATAGCTGATGATTTATACTATCTATGTAAAGGTGAACAGCATACAATCTAGCATATGTTTTTAAAGTGCCCCCATGTAGCTTTATTTTGGAACGAATTTTTTGACTGGTGGTCGCAAGTCACTAGTGAAAACATTCAGTTACCAGACCGTCAACAATTTTATACGGACCTACAAACCCACCCAAGCACCATCAACCCCTAAGCTTGGCTTTGTTGGTGGCAAAATACTTCATTTATAAATGTAACCTAAATGAACAATCTTACTCTTCTTGCTGTTTAAGATACAACTTCGAGAAAACATAATGACTGAAAGGTACATTGCAATTAAAAACAAAATTGCCAAGCTCTTTAATGAGAAATGGAAATGCCTTATATTAAAAGATTTTGTTCCAGAAGTTTTGCCACCACCAACGACTCGCTAGGACAAATTAATTAACTTACTTTGTGTCAATGTTGTCATGGTTTTCAAATTTCTAATCAGTAGTGCTTAGCATTAATTTATTTCTATATTATTTAAAATAATAATAATAATAATAATAATAATAATAATAATAATAATAAAAATAAAAAGAAATGATAATAATAAAAAAAAATGCTGTTCCATTCCATCACTGGAAATTTCCAGAAGCTCAAAACATAATTTTTCAACAAATGAAGTGATGGACACTAAAATCTGGGAATTTATAACAGGATCTCTTGTTAAACCTGGGGATTTACCAAATGTGGCAAGTTAAATAAATCTGCCCGTGGAAAATAAAGTTGATAGTTTACTATCTGTAAGAATGCCACAACCCACTCTGGGAATTTTTTTCTGATCAAATCAGGTGGTTGTGTCCCTGGGGTTGTGTCCAGTGGGACTTTTAAAAGGGTGTTTTCTACGGATTTTTAATCTGGCCACAAGCTCTCGAGTAGTACAACAATCATGTTTGTAACTGAGCAGACATGTGGATAGCACTAAAATAGGCCAGCCTCACTCCATATGAAATGATCAGTTTGTATTGTGTTTGGGTTGTATTCATTAACAGACAAAAGACTCATTGACAAGTATTTTAAGATCCCACCTCACCCCAGGCTGACTGGTTAATTACTCAGACTATAAGAAAAAGTATATAAGCAGTTGAACCCTGCCATAATTTTTGAACTCTCAGGGGAAACGAGAAAAGTTCAAAAAATCTGAAGAATAGTTAGTTTGAATAGCCGATGGTAAATGACTGAAGGGCAAGTTGAAGGGAAATGGTTTTGAGTTCGATATAACAGGGAATTTAAAATAATCAAGTTCAAATTAGCAGGGTCCAACTAAGAGAAAATAATCTGACACAGAAAAACATGTTGCAAGGTAGTTTTTATTGGTCATGGACTCCTAAAAACACCATGTGTCAAGCTAAAGACAGTTTGCAATTCACAATTCACAAGAAACAGTCTTTCTTGTGGCAGCCATTTAAAAACGTAACTTTACCAAAATTATATACAAATACAAGATTAAGAAATGAAACATATTCTTTTAGAACAAAAATAACTCTAGGACTGATAAATGTTGTTGAAAGAGGTGAAAAAAAAACAAGAAAACAAAAACAAGAAAAAACAAGAACATTAATGTCCATTAATGTCCACCTCCACTCAAGAAATACATGTAGAAAACATTTTTCATGAGAACTGAGTTAACTCATCAATTTATAAAAACACGGAAAAAAATTTCCTATTTATTTTAGAAAACACTGCAACAAAAAGAAAGGAAAATCCCTCATTTATTTTGATTATTAAAATGTACAGTAAATTCTCTTTGCTGGCGCCATCATTACGTCAACAGCTTGTGCTAGTTCCTTGTCTATAATTGAGTTATACTATAGAAGTACAGCTTTAAGTGTGCACTTTCTTATTGGGAGTGTTCTAAATTATATTTAAGACAAGTATTAACCATTCATAGGTTCTGGTAAAATTATTACAAGATCACCTTGCTATCATACTATGTTTCCACATTATCTTAGCACCTGGGAGTCTAGTTAAGGATTATACAAAGTTGAACACTTCAATTTAAATATATTTACAACTGAAAGTATCCACACATGTTTGTCCAGTAATGATGCTAGTCATCATCTTCAGGTGAGAAAATATCATTTTCTTCTAGCCATGCAGCTCCTTCACGAGAAATCATGCCTCCCACGTACAAAAATGGAATCACAATGCAAGTGACTTTCACCAACCCAAAGCGTTTCTTCTCTGGCTTGGATAAAATAGCACCAGTACTTGTGCATGTAGATGCTTGCCTAATGAAAGATGATCCTTGATGATGAAGAATTTGAGCTGGACGCATCCACAACCTCAACATGTTGGCAGCCATTATTCTTCTTTCTTTTTACCTTGAAACGTCTCCTAAAACTGCAAAGTTCTTTATCTCTGATTTAAAACAACAGGTGTTGTTTTTGGCTTTACCTACTGGTGAGGGAAAATGAAAATTGTATTGATGAGATAAAGTAAAAACCCACGTGCATGTATAAGAAGCTGGATTTTAAGAACCTGTTACGTGTACATGTGTTAGACTAAGATTTGCTATATACATGTAGACCCCTAGAACCTAGAAAAATCAAGGTTCTTATACTTGGGTTTTTATGGGATGCATCGGTAGACTACTGATGCAGTTCTAAATAATGTACCAAGGTATGTGTGGGGTTCAAGACAGTACAGCCAATGCACGAATGTATTTTTTGAACATGAGATATTTTGTAACATCACACTATTTAGCTATTCTTTGTTTAGGCTGTAGTTTTACCTGGGAGTAATTCCACTTTAGGCTGGGTACTTACTCAATATTATAGGGTTACGTCATTCATCTACTGAGCATACTCAGCATAAGTCTTTGCACAAGCCACATTGGCAATAGACCATTTTACAATTGTCTGCTCAGTGACCTGGCCTTTGGATGGCAGCGAGGCTGGAGTTAGTCTCCTCCACAGCTGTTTGTTGGGATGTCACGCAACCCTTCCCCCAAAGAAACGGCTGCTCACATCCGAACAACATTCCTTTCACGAAATTAGCCAATCACCACTTCTGTTCCATTTTCAAGAACGTTTCCATGCCAAATTCGCCCTTTGAAACCTGTCCAATCAGAGAATGTTTTTTATCTTTGTATCCCATCGTGAGAGATGTCACAAATGAATGTACATATTTCCGGCTTTTGTTTAGGTCCGCCAAGAAATACTGGCGACGCTTGAACAAGCTTTCTGTGTAGCTGAAGGCTCTTCAAAGTTCAAGCTAATTATTAGAAGCTTTCAACTCAAAAATTATTGTCGAGAAGGAAGATATCTGTTTTAACTTAATAAAGGAATCAGAAAATCAAGTAGCTTCGCTTGATTTGTTGACAGCGAGTTCTGAATGCCGCTCTTTGTCCTCTTTCCTCCTGATTTCAATCTGTAGGAAGCGTTTAGCCCTTGATTGACGCTTACAATTTGACATTTCCAGAAAATATATATTCTCTTGTTAGCTGAACATAGCGATGAGTACATGAAGCACTTGTACTTAGGGCTTTCATTTACCTTCTTTTTTTCGTCCGTCATGATGGTAGCCCACGAACACCGCCTATTTTTGGCGATGTGTGGCATGAAACAAAAGCCACAAATCCCTCGCGTGTTCGCACCGCAGGCCTTTTTGTGAGAAAGCTTACGTCATTCTCACTTTGCTTTTATGTGATTGGTCTGTTCAACAGAGCGCAAACAAACCACAGACACAAAAGGAAAAGAATGGTGTTTGGATGTGAGCAGCCGTTTCTTTGGGGGGAGCGTTGCGTGACATCCCAAAAAACGGCTGCAGAGGAGACTAAGCTGGAGTTGACTTTGTTTTGATACAGACTTCATGGTTTTTGTCATGTAAATGCACCTAGTTAGCATCAGAACAACTTGTTTTACACAACAAAAGCAGTGTGGTCTGTATCAAAACAAGGTCAACTCCAGCCTCGCTGCCATCCAAAGGCCGTTTCACTGAGCTGACCACTGTAAAATGGTCTATTGGCAATTGGCATCCATTTTAATTGAAATTTATACGATCAGATATAATAAAAACTTTCAAACATACATTAGGAGTAATGATCATTCAAAAAAATGTGACAGTCTCTTGCACATTCATATCACATTACAATGTAAAAGATATTTGGATCAGGGAAGCCAGCCTTTGTTCTATAATTTTCACTTTCAAGTGGTTTGTTAGAATCTTACAAAATGAGATGCTGCATATACATAGTTAAGAAAACATTTTACATGAGTTAGCTTATTCTTTAACAAATTGAAAAAATTGCAGATCAGTGCAAAGATCAGTGACTAGCCTTAACCAACACCATGAACATGAATGAACTCGAACTACTGACAGGCTCTGTCAGACTACTTTTTAGTAAGCTTACTATGCAAAAGTCAAATTTGTGGCCTGCTAGTGTTTTTTTTGTTGCATTTACAAGATTACCTTCAAGTACCTCTTCTATTCATCTGAGGATTCGATAGATGATATAGATAAGCTAAACTTTCTTCACCGTTATTTTGCACTCAATAAAACGGAAGTCGATTGTTGGCATCAGTTCGAGAAAAGCACTCATGTATGTTATAATAATTCTTCAACAATGAAATTTAAGTATTATTATCACTTACTGAATTGGATCGACGATACACTATCTTGGAAGGGAGAAGGAAAGACTCACAATTTGGCGGAAAGGAAACGATATACAAGAGACATGTACTGAACAGAATTGATATGAGTTCTTGTTCATGTATGGTGCATGAACTGTCCATAACAATACGGATTATATAAGTGTATGCAACACAAAGCGTCTCTCCTTCATCGCCCTTCGCACTTCTATCCAATATCCCTCTACTTTCCGTTGGAAAGGACAAAATGTAAATACTTACATGAAAAACTTCCTTATTCATTAGGCGGGAGTGTATGTGTGTGCTGGGCGGGGCTGGGGGAATGGGGGGTGGCAGTTGAAAGCCGGCCAAACATTTATTTCAGGTTAAGGCCCGTGGTTCAACTCATGCAACAATTTTAATTCAACAGGTGTTCACTAGCTATCAGCAGCACTGCGCGCCTTACCCTGGCTTTTAGAAATCTAATTAATCTGTTACCAGACTACAACAATTTGTGTTCCTTCATGAAAGGGAATATGGAGAGAGATTCAAAATTCGCACCCACGAACTCTGCGCTACCGGTGCAGTGCTCAACCAACTGAGCTTTCAAGGTAACTGGAAGCAAGTCATGAATTTGTAATATACCCGTTGAGGATGAGGATATGAAAATAAATATATAAAATATACCTTTGTACTGTGGGAGAAAGATTTAAAGACAGAGATCACTTCAGTTATGTACGCAACTTTTAACAGTCGCTGTTTGCATCACGGTCTGCACCAACTAAGGGTATATTACGAACTCACTACTTGGTTTCTAAGGAACCTTATCAGGCTGAACTTGAAAAAAAATGTCACATAAATTTTCTTCACCAATTGGTCCCAGCACCAGTTTAGTTGATCTTAATTTTTCGACGATGAAGTCCGTGGCTGGTAGAGTTCTTTTTGTTTTGTCAATGTTAAGAGTCAATCAGATTCGATAATTTGATATAGTCACTGATATCATAAGACAATTAAGTGAAACCAATCTATCCTCTTAGTATTAGGGATTAATTTCATTTTATATTGAAGATCACAGATTAACCCCGACAATCGGCGACAATTTGTGAAAATCTTATTTTCAGATTAGGAAGCAATCCCGGTTTTACTTGCCTCAAAGACACCGTGAAAATGACTTCGTCTTCTCGATACCTACTTGTTATGTTTCTTCTTTCCGCTCTTTACTGTGTCCTTTGCGAGTTTCATGACTTGGAATAAGTGGGAAGCTTGAAAAGTAAGATAAAAAAATTGTACGTTCAGTTAGCCTTCCTGAATTTCGTTTTCATGATAACGGCGGCATTTTGAGTCACTTAATATTCGGAAGAAAACCAGTCAGCCGAGTTTTATGTTTCAAGCACTACCTGGTACTTTTCACTCAATTCTTGCCTTGGAAGCAGCGACTTACAGAAATTGTCTTAATTAACGTGGGCGGGCGGGAGAGGGACTAAATGTGATATTTCTGATATAATATTTTCGAATGTTACTGTTATTAAATGTGATGTTTCTGACACAGTATAAAATATGATGATTTTCTGATGTTAAATGTAATATTTCTCGCTGGTATAAGCAATACTCTGTCTAATTGGTAGTTTCTTCTGGTAGGTTTTCCATCGTAATTTTGTGGTATGGTCATGTATTGGAAGAATATTCATTCGGAGTCTAATGACGGTAGGGTGACGGCAGAGGAGATTATATTTTCAGTAGAACCATCCTTTTCAACACAGCTTTAAGACAATTTGGAGTACGCTAGGGTTGAGTTGAGCGTGCAGAAACTCATTTTATTATCTAGTGCATTACGTGCAACAAAGCTACTCACTGACTGACTCAATGACTGACTGACTGACTGACTGACTGACTGACAGACCGACCGACCGACCGACCGACAAACTGACTGACCGACTGACAGACCGACTCACTGACTCACTGACTCACTGACTCACTGACTCACTGACTCCCTAACTCACTGACTCACTGACTCACTAACTCATCACTGACTCACTGACTCACTGACTCACTGACCGACTGACTGACTGGCTAACTGACTGACTGACTGACTGACTTACTAACTGACTGACTGACTGCCTGACTCACTGACTGTTTGACTGAATTATTTACTTATATCAGTGGCAATTCGTGGCGCGCGGTATAAAATTGCAATGTCGTTTGACACAAGTAGAAACTATTGTCCTTAACGTTAGCTAATGGAGGTTAAGGATGAAAATTATTATCTGGTCAGCAAATTCTTTTGACACGTTGTTTTTATTAACGAGATAGAAAGCTTCATAACGAGTGAATATCATTTAAAAGGTCTGAGGTTTTTCAAATTTGGACGTGATAATTAATTGCGCGTATGTGACAAGGTTTTGGAAACCAAGAAGACACAGTTTTCTGTTCATTTCCATGAAAGCAATCTATTTTAGAGGTCTTGTTGTTTTAAAACACCAATCAGATACAAGAATTTTGTTCTGAGATCAGAAAACACCTTATTTGGATATGAAACAGAAATCGCGCGCAAATGATTCTAGTTGACGTCAGTTTGACGTCAAAATATGATTTGATGAAAAGTTGTGTTGAAGACTGTGAGAGGATTTGTCGGTACGGACCAACAAAATTCACTTGTTATTAGGAAAGCAAGAGAAGTTATGGATGGCATCCAGGTACTCATTAGACTAATTAATGCCTTTACCCATCTTAAACAGATGCCCAACTCAACCAAAATCTACTTTGCCGTGAACAAAATTATATTTTGAGGGTGCTAGCTTAATTCGAACTGTAAAATGCACTGAAAACCGATTCAAATGAAGAACAAAAGAATAAACGAGAGAACGTCGAGAAAGTCTTTAACTTCGATCAAAATTGTTTTGCTGAATGTTCTTCACACTGAACGAGTCGAAGTAAGTTTTGCAATTCATCAAACTGGCTGTAAAAGTAGCCGTAAAACAAGCCGTAAATAAAATTTGTTTGTTGTGGCACGAGCGCGCACGTATCCTTGGCAACGCGAGAAAACACACGCCATAGCCACGATCAAGTCGCCGCTTTCAGTTATTTATTTGATGCTGGAATTTAGCCCCTCTCTCATTTTATTTTTTGCGCCCTCGATTTTGTTTCCGAGTTTTCAACTTACAAGTCCCTCTTTGACAGAAACGGTGAAAAGTAAAATTATGAAGAAACGCTAAAAACGTAAGTCAGATTCCATCTTGAGCTGTTAAAACAAGGAAACTAGGCAAGTTTTATTTTCAGTATCTGTTGTCATTTCTGTTTGCTTGTAAACGCTGAAAGCGGAATACCAAATCATTTGCAGTTAACCTGTAGAATCGCACGAAATATTGCTGATAATTAGACGAGTAGGCGACTGGCCATAGGTTAGGTTGAGTTAGTGAATGGCAGTTTTACCGGTTATACATAAACTGGTTGTACCTCACTTTTACCAGTGGCAGCCTACGTGCCAGGTGCTTGAGTAAAATTCAGAATCAGAAAAAAATGGTGACATACCATTACTTTTAGCAGCTCCATAAATTGTAATTGACAAAAAAACCTGGGATTTTAAACCACTGAGTTTAAAATCTAAGCGAAGTTTAAATAAAATGACCGGAGTTGAAAATACCAATAAAAAAAGGAACTCATTTCCCTGAAACTGCGCAGTAAATGTTCTAATCATGTTGTCATGCTGAAATCACAAACAGGAAAGCATAGTATTATTTGTTTATTTGCCTCCGTCCAATTTAAGTAGTTCTCGAAATTTGTGTCACCCAATTATCTCCAAGTTGTACAGCATGTAGTCCTGAGAGGACTCAAGAAACTGGTTAGAGATTTGGTTCCGTACAAATAAAAATTGTAACGGTAGAATAGTCGGCCGTATCGCTTGAAAAGTTGGCCAACCCAGGTATTTTGCATTGAAAACAGGTTAAAAGAAAAAAGCAAATAACAACAAAACAAAATGCTTTGAAAACATGTCGTTTTTAACCCGTGAGGCTAAATCGAAACAAGCCGCTATTGTGCGAATTTTCTGATTAGCCGAAAAGAAACTGTTTTGATTCTTGCATTGAAGGTTGGGTAGTCATGAATTAACTTTGTGCAACCCTGTGTAGAACATGACAACGTGAATTTGCGAATGAAACCATCAGTTGCTGCGCGACGAGCTGCGAGAGAATATCCTCCGTATTACTTCAGCTGCTTAAGTTATTGTGCGCAATGTACGTCGGATCAGTTAGAGTTTGTTTTTACGTACGTCTGACGTTATTATATTTGTTGAATTCTTTTAATGACTTGTACAGAATTTCAAAATAGCTTTCTTAATATCACCTGGTGATATTGTTGGATGAGGTACCGTGCGCCCTAACCCACAAGGAAGTTTGTTCGCAGGCTATGGATGTGCATGAGAGAAGCCTCGGTATAAAGTGACACTTTGTATAAGCAGGAGCCGGGCCAGAATTTGAACCAGGAATTACCAGGTCCGCAACACGGGTAAATCAGTTTTTGCCAAATATTAGCGACGTTGCAGAGGCTATGAAATACGTAGGAGTCGTAACCAAAAACACTAGCCGTATTTAACTATGACCCAATCATGTCTCTAACATTAAGTCGTAATGATGGCCGAATTTAACTGTGACTCAATTATGTCCGGCTCCAACATTAAGTGAGTCTAGGTCAATAAAAGACGCATATAATATCGTGTAAGAGATTGTTTGGTGGCCTGATTACAAATAACTCGAAAAAAACAGTTGAATGGACTCCCAGGCCAGAAAAGTTTCTTTTACGATAGGGTTTTCCTGCTGCGAACTGTATTTTCAGATGAACGGAGACTTCATATGCACTGGACGAGGAACGCACTAAACACGGTGGAAATTACTAACTATGCTGAAAGGCCATTTTCGTATTCTCGGTATCGGACTGAAACTACAATCTTGGACAGAATAAAAAGGAACAGTTAACCCCCTTCCCCTCCAAAGATTAGGGACCTTCAGCACCGAGAGTTTTCATAGCGACGGCGACGTCGGTGGACGAAAGAGACTGGGGCGAGGACGGCCTTGTTCGCGCCAAAATATAAACCTTTAGCACCCTTTATCTTCCGACGGTAACTTACTTGCCGAGGTCTTTGAAAATGAACAAATTTAACACTTGTAGAGAGATACTTTTGCTTAGCTATGCAGACAAGAACATTTCGGACAAAGAATTTGTTCCATTATACGACTGTTATCGTTAAAAAAAAATCCAGATTTCGGCTATCAATCGTACGATGTTTTCGATCTAGAAAACATGAATTCAGCTGACTGCAAAGCCGAATTTCGAAATGAAAAGGCAGACCTTCCTCGCCTTGCAGATGCCTTACATATTCCCGCAGTGTTCCATTGCAAACAGGGAGGCATATGTGATGGTTTGGAGGGACTGTGTGTGCTGCTGAGACGAACAAGTTATCCCTGCGGATTCAGCGATATGATTCAACGTTTTCTAAGACCAGTTTCTGTTTTGAGTTTGATTACAAATGAAGTCATGGATTTTATTTATGACAACCACTGTCA